ACGTTGTCAAACAACCGACCCTCAGAGAAAAACCTGTCTTCTTCAGAGCCCTCCATCTTCCCCCTTTGTGTGCACTCCCAACGCCTACGGGCATCTGGTATCAAATCAGACTTCACTCCATTGAGGTGCGTGTAGCCTTAGGCATGCTAGCTGCAAGTAGTTTCTTGTGCTGTATACCTTTGCTTTTAATTTCTGCTGTGGGAGATTAAAAATCATCCACTTTCATTCGCAGTCCAAGCAACCCGAAAGAAAAACAAAAAATAGGCGTGACAGAAACCTGAAAGATTCTGAGCTTTAGCAAAACCAACTGCGGTTTGAGAAGTTTGTTTTGAAGGGGAGAGAAAAAAAGTATAAGTGCGTTCTTGTTCTCAAGCTTACTTTTCTCAGTTTCAAAATGTCAAGGATTCATGGCTTTGTGTGGCTGCTGTTTCCGTGAAAGGAAAGTTACTTTGTTCCCACTTGTGTGTGCGGTTTATTTTTTTAACTGAATGTATACAATGATGTGGTTCTTTTCTAAATTTACAAATCTGGCTTTCACTTTTGTTCTCGTCATGCATGCTTGTATTACCAAACATCATATTTCTGGAAGTATGTTTCTAAACATTACATTGTATTGACAAGGCTTTAGCTGTCTGTTCTCTAACTCATCCTTTGAAGTTGTGTTATTTTTTACCTTAAGTTTTCTTTAGATCTGTCAATTTCATTTGTTACATAGGCCTACTTACAGATTCTCAATAGAAGTTTCCCTGTCTGTTTGGAGAAAAAATCACAGGCACTTTCACTTGTCATCTTGATTCCAACTATTTCTCCTGTGTAAGTTGTATCTAGGATCAAATCCAGAAATAGAGAATTTTGTTGGTATTTGAATAATTTCCCCAACAAGAACATGCCCTCCCTAAGCTAAAACTTTCAGGCTATCTAATTTCACTGAATACCCTGCTTGTCTGTAGGCTGTGAAAAAAGTGCTTCACCCCAGACCTAGATGTTACCATTTTTGTAATGATTTCCATTATATCAATTTGTAATAGATGTATTGCTTAAATTATTGTGTGATCCTGCTTTGTTTTTTTGGCAGCATTGAATACATGTACGCATTTTTTGTTTATTGTGTCTTTGATTTGAGGTCCAGTATTTATTTCATTTCTGAAAACTTGTTATTGTTTTGCCTTGTTATTATTTTCATTTTGCAATTACTCGGTTGAGTTGCAACTCCACCGGTAAACCACAGGTTCTCTCAGTTTCAATATTCAGTCAAGACTGAATAAGTTGCTGGACGGTCTTCACTTGGTTGTGTCTTGACTTTTTTTAGGTCTAGAGGCACTGTCACAAAATTGTGGCTAGTCAAAGGTTACTAGTCCATGATTTCAGGGATCATGTTTTCAAGTAGTTCTTAAGTGTTGGGGGCCGGGGTCTCCTCTCCCTGGCATCCCACCAAAGGCCCAGTCATCACCATGGTGCTCCACTGACTGGTGGCCTTCTGAAGACTTAGCAGTGTAGCCTGGAGTGCTTGTTGTCTGGGGAGCTTTGAAGGTTTGCTGAGTGTTTGCGTCAATGTTGCCAAGGAACACAACTGTAGATGTTTCCCGTTTCATTTGTCATCTGAAATGCTTTCTGTGAATCCCTGACTCCTTTTTGTCTTGGCAACATGTCAATATGCTTCTAATATTTAGGGGATGCCCCGTCAATAGTCTTGGGCTCTTAGTAATTTAAGCATTTTTTTGCAGTTCGTCGGTGTAACAGAGAAACTTTTTGCCCTGTTAGGTGATTTTTGTTCAAAGCTCAGAGGCCTTATTCATGAACAATGGCATTGTGAGGTAGTTTATATGTTTGTCGGTTGCAGTTTATCCCCTTTGATTATCTTTAGTTCTTTCTTAGCTCTTACTGTCTATAGTTAAAGTATATTCCAATCTGCAGGAGTTTTTGGAAGGGTAGGTTGCTTGTTATGATGTTAATTTTATGAGTTACCAGTTTAGAGTGGCGTCATTTTTCTGCCATCAAATTATCTGTTACAGCTCATCAGGGAAAGATGCCAGACTTGTACAGCTATCAGGCCCGTCTCTAAGGGAGAGAGGAGGTGCTGGAGGGATTGGCCCCCCTATGACAAGTAGCTGGCCCCCTATTGGCAAAAACCGTATGCATCAAAATTATCTATTTCCTTTGATATGCCCATGCCCAAAGCTATAGTAACAGGGCTGACAGAGAGGCAATCAGTTGCCAGTGTTATACTGCCACTGGCAGTGTTGGAAGATAGACAGAGGGTGCAGAGTGGTAGGGTGCACTGGGTTGCAGATATTGGAAGGAAATTGGGGATGCTAAAGATGTAAAATAGCACATGGATGAAAACGTAAAAAAAGAGTCGATTAAATAGCACTGAACTTTAAGTACACACAAGTATTTCCAAATTGACTGTTGTCTATAAACCACAATGCTGGAACTTATTCTAAATGGGACAACTATTTTATTTTGCCAAATTGTGTCTGGTTGTGGACATGCAACAGTGACCCTTTTCAATGAAAGCTTAAACCATCAATGTATCACCAGAGACCTGAGGATTCCTTGCTCGGTATGCATACTTCATCATTAGGGATCTTAAGGAAGCCCCACAAAAAGATGCCTTCCAGTTAATCTCCTCCTGGTGTCACTGGTCAACTTGAAAACCCCCTCAATGAGTTCATCAGAGTGACGGGCCAACACATGTAGGAGTTCTTAAGGTTTCTGTTAATTGCATCTTCATGTTGAGCTTTGCCCTGAGCAGTGACGGTGCTTATAATAGAGGGGAGTAAGTGGCAGTTATTTGTCACATAAATGTTTCCAAGTTTAGAGCGTCAATTAATTCTGTGGCATTTTGATAATGTTGCTTGAACTTCAGAGATGTTACACTGTTGCAATGTAAACAAGCAGGATTCAATTAAAAGGACCAGCATGAATTATTTGACTTCCGCAGAGGACAAGGGTGCTTGTGCAGTGTCTGGAGAAAATAATCATTTAGTTGGTGGTCAGGAGAAGTAACTGCGAAGTACAAATGAGGAATACGTATTCTGAGGATGTATCTTTGAAGATGTATAGACTTTCAGAGCGTTGGAGGACTTTCAAATTTTAATTTCTCACCAGTAACGGCTGTTTTTCAGTTTGTATCAAATACTGTGTGTGCACTGGGATAAGGTGCATGACACACAGGCCATGCTTGGCTGACCCTTCCTAACTGAGGATTTAATTCCAACTGTGGATATTACCACTGAACTCAACAGGAAGGGACTCTCCCCTCCCCCAGGCCTTCACAGCATCCCTTGGGCTTCCCCAGGTGGTGACCTCTTTCACTGTGTAGTGAAGGGTGTGTGTGATGATTAATGAATTGATCACTGGTGAACATCAGTGGATGGCAGGCACTGTGCCGGACTGATCCAGGGTAGTAGAAAAGACCTTTACTACCCTGGATGGAGTAGAAAAGGCCCTTCTTGTTGGGGACAGCCGGGATACTGCTAACTGGTCTGACATGATGGGGTTTTTTGCCCTGTTATGACATGCCCGAAATATTTCAAGAAAAAAATAACAGTTGTATGTTTTTACCCGTGCATTTTGTTTCATTTGTTGCCTAAATCTTGTACATGTATAACAAATATCTGACTTTTGTCCCATTCAACAAGGATTGGGTTAACTATGGCAAGTTGTTGGGGTTGAATGAAAATGGGTTTAATGTACAAAATGTGTACATTGATAATATGAAGGATTTAAATTCTAGAAGTTCTTTTGAGGAAATTTTTTAAGTTTTTATATTCAGAAATGACATTATCAAAAAAGTGTCATAAATATGGCACAGTAATAATGCAGATCACAGTCTGCTTCTGACAAAATGCCTGGGCAACTTTCCACACTTTAGATGATCAGCTTTTGAGAGATATTGGATGGCTAACAAATGCTGGTTTTCAATCTTTTTGTTCTGCATTTGAAAGTACAGTACATGTATATAGGGTCCATGCTTTAGAAAGTTGAAAAGTTTTAAATGATGAATGATTTTGCTACAACCCCCCGCCCGTCACATATGCCATTTTTTAAAAACTATGTGTGCATCCTTAGCATTAATGTTGTCAGTTGCATCAATTTCAAGAATGTTCACATGGTGCGTCTCCAGTGCCTGTTACACCATGGCTACATCAAGTCTATTTAGTAACATGCATGGGTTAGAAAGGAGGAAATGTCCCTTCTTATGGTACATGTAATTGCTCCTTAAAGTGTTGCCCCCAGGGTGAGTGGAGCCCCTAATCTCTCTCTTAATGACCAACCCCTGGGGATGCATGGCATCATCTTATTGTTACTTCCTGGATCCATATAATAAGCTCCATACAGCTGTGTTCATCTCTACAGCGAGGAAGACCTCGGCCTATGCCCACCTTGTGCTGGCCAGCTCACTTACCTGTGTCCTCAATCAAACCGTGTCATTTGTCAACTGCAGTCTTGTTTTTACACTGAGCACACAGGAACATGTGAGATCAAATCCATTCACATATAAGTAAAGAAAGACATGGAGTTTTCAGAAGAAATTTGGTTGAAAGGCAGCGATTGTCCGTTATTTGGGACCCAATATTAAACCGAATCAAAATGAAAACACTGTCAAAGATATCTTCATGACCGTATTTTCAAACTGTCACACAATGCACACAACCACACAGTACAAAAAAGCAGCTGATTTAGAGAAGTTTATGATAAAGGTTTGTTGGGCTTATTTCAAAGATTCAAATAATAAAAAAAATAGACTTTTTGGGAAAAAGGTGTCAGGTTGTGAAGTCAGTGGCTTGGACGTTGTTTTTCTGATTATCACTGCAGTACTTTCAGTCACAGCTTTCAGGAAGTGCTGAAATTCAAAATTGAATAGTGTTCATATGTATTCATATTTTTCTCCCTTTCTTAGATGGTACATTCATATTTTTTCCCTTTCTTATATGATACATTCATATTTTTTCCCTTTCATAGATGATACATTCATATTTTTCTCCCTTTCTTAGATGCTACCGGTATCAAGGAACTGTTCACCATTCCTGAAGGCAGCACATCTATCAGACTGACCAGCAAAGGTTCCAACTATCTCGGCCTGAGAGGGCTATGGAGTAGGACCAGCCTCAACCAGAAACCACCTCCGGTTGGTTCTGGGGAATACAGGATAGGAGACAATGTCTTGCAGTACACCAGCTTGCAGAGTGGCCGAGAACACGCTGATATCGAAGGGCCTCTTACTGAACCCATCATTGTATTTGTGAGTATATGAAAAAGTGGCTTGTTCCCCTCCCCCATGTGTACAAAGAAAGGTCAAAGAAAATCATGAATGGTACATAGATGTAGAAAAACAGTGATTAGCAAGGACAGGGACATTTAACAATTGTTGACCACTGCAGTGTGGAATATGGCGTTTTGAACACCCAAGGGACGCATAGTGCCCCGAGGCAAAGCCGAGGGCACTATGCGTGCCCGAGGGTGTTCAAACGTTGTATTGTTGTGTTGTATTGTTTGCTATGGATTATCCCGAAGCTCTTCTGTCTCGCGCAAGTGCTTGCACACATTATAGGCAGAAAGAGATATCTCATGGTGAGTGTGATATGCGGATATATCACCCTGTCATGTGATTGTTCTGGGCCAATAAATGGACAGTATCCAAGACAGAGGTATGACAATATTGTTTTATGTAGCTCTGTGGGCTCATTCAGTGTTTTAGGAAAAGGAAATGACGCACTTTTAACCATGTACATTATCGATAACAACCAGGGTTGCTGATTATGACTGTAAATTACGCATCAAGATAAATTTACGCTGACCATGGTAATGCAGTAAATGCTGTCACTGGTCATTTGCAGTGGCCCCCACCAATGGCAGAGTGTACTGTGGTGAGTGTTGTATCGAGCCACTGCTCTGGCAGTTGCTCCGTACAAACCCAACACAACATTTTCTGCCATTGAAGGGGTCCATTTGGGATGGCCAGGAAAATATCACTGTTTTCATCTGAAGTCAGTGGGGGCCCAAGGTCCACTGAGCACCAGCGGAGAGCAAACGGGTAAACACAGTGTGGTGTCATCAGCACAGAGGTCCATTCAGACGGCAAAATAAGATGCATAGCTCTGTTGGCAGAACATTAGTATAGTTTTCCAGTATCTGGGTAGGTCTGGGGAATGAATTTGTTGATATCCTGTTCACACATGGGAGAGCATGGGACAAGGCACTTAACTAATTGCTGGCTGACATCTCGTGGATAGACCTTCTCTTCATAGAAACAAATCAACCATTTCCAGCAGAGAGCAGAAGGCACACTGTATTGTTTGCAGCGTGTTAAACTTTTGACCAATAGGAGGCCTGCATGCTAATTAAATTACATAGATTGTCAAGCGAGGGCAGCAAACACTGTATGAGTGCATCATATGTAATCTAAGGTTGGAGGTAGAGGGCAGCAGATACAACACATGCCAGATTTGTGCAAAGTAACAAGGGAATAACATTATACAGTATTCCCAACCAATTCAGTTCAATTCAATTGAATTGCATTTATTTCCTCCACATGGCAAAATATAAGTACTAACAATGGATAAGAGGTGGCAAGACCTCAAAGCAAACCTTGTGTGAGGTATGCCATTACCAAAAAAACAATATAAAAGAAACAACAAACACAGACGGAAAATAGAACATACATTGAACATACAAAATGAGCATCAAATAAGTATAATGATGAATGAAAGGGTTACGGAAGGGGGTTACATACACCTGATCACACATCAAACTACTAGGACCCTGGAGACTAGGACGCATGAAATCTATTGCCTAAGATAAAATTTAAGTTTCTGCTTAAACCAATATTATTTTGATAGCATGAGCAGAGAATGGGCTGTGTGCATGCCTCCCAAAATGATACCAACTAAAAAAATAACTCCAAGGGTTTGTCATTTCAGTGTAATTTATTACTTCCCCTTTGCTTACTTGTATAACATATGACTGCCTTCCATTTGACACTCGTGACATCTCACACCTACTCCGGCCTGGCCCAAATGACTGACCCACCAAGCCGGTCACTTGGAGAAGTATGCGGAAACATGGCGCATTAGTCAAACCTTACAGAGGAAAGTCGACACAGTTGTAAACAATTCAGAAAAAATAGTTGAATGTTTAGTGGCAAATCGGCTCAAGTCGATTGCGTTCTGTCAAAGAAAGGCAAGACATTTGCATTTGGACGTCTTTCGCTTTCAACCATTCGGATTCATTTTGCAAGTTAAATCAGCGCATGACTTCTTGACCTGGCCAGGGCACTTCAAGTAACTCAAGATCATTCCTTCACATATTGTGCATGGAATGTGCTTAAACCTACGACAACGCCACGGGCACAAGTCATCAAACCTGCTATATTGTGCACAGTATCATATTATTGTGCTTTGTGTACCATTGTCCAGTCAGTTTTGACAGGAGAAAGACATCCAATTCACTTGAGGTGTCCCATCTGAGTCAAGAGGTCATGGAGAGATTAAATTTGCAACATGGATTTGGATACTGAAAGCCAATACAGACGTCCACATCCATGTAGTCTTGGATACTGAAAGCCAATACAGACATCCACATCCATGTAGTCTTTGTTTCACAGCCAATTTACCTCTTTATGCAACATTTTGTGCACCATATTACAGCGGTACAAACTTTTTTTCACATTGTTTAACTAAGCTGCCATGTTTTTATTTTGCATTTTAGGATAATTTTCCCAGTAATCTTAATTACATGGGCCCGGCCAAAATAAGGACAAGTAGTCACTCGAGTGTCATATCAAATGCATGCATGCTTGCACGAGTAAGTGCGAGGAAAATAATTGTACACGCTTGAGGTACCGATACATGGAACTTGGAGAAATCATTTACCGGTACAGCCGTTGAAAGAGATAGTTCAGGTGTTATCTAATTGTTTTTTGGCAGGTTCTTTTCAGCCAGCCCTTAGCAGAGCCAGAGACGGTTCATTACCGCTACCTCGCACCAATCAAATATGGCTGGAGAAGTAATAGATGGTCTGATTGCTCGGTGACATGTGGATCAGGTAAGACTGCCAATTATCCTGGGAACTGTACATGTATGTGCAAGGTTTCAGCTGAAATGGGAAGTCCAACCATCTGAATTTCAGATGTACGGCTAGCCTTTTCGCACTGATAATGCGTCAATACACAGGGATTTCCTGTGTCATAGCCTGGAGGACACTCAATGCTCTGGCAAATTCTGTATGCAGTGATTGGTGATGTTTATACTCATCTCTGTGCTTGAGTGATTCCCAGTTAGTTTGCTCACACATGGAGGCTGGAACTACATGTACACTGTGGAGGTTGAGCATGTGTTATGGGCCCTCGTGGGCCATGGCTGGGGTCTTATACCAGAAGCAAATATGCTCCACAACATTACGACAGCGTAGCAACATAAAGATAAATCTTGAATAGATGACCACCAAGGGTCACTGCATGTTACATCAGTCTCTGTGGACTCTGGATGCAGTCTCTTTTTTCAAAGGTTGATAATTTTTATAGGCCCAAATAATATCATGCCTGGAACAAGTTCATTGTGGAATATTACCGTTGGTGAGTGATTAAATGATTCATTACACCAAATCCCTCTCCTTCGGTCTCATAAGAAGTTTTTAGTTCACCTATTTTTTAGGCAAGCATGTCAAGGATACCTGTAATGCAGTAGAGGCTGCCACCAGGATTTTGCCTTATTTAGTGGTACATAGGCCCATCAGCTCACCTGCTTTGCCTTTTAACAAGATAATTAGCTGTCATTTGGTTACCATAGTTACATACCATACATGTATCTTCACAAGGGTTGGCAGCATTCATATTTATTGTGCAAGTAATTTTCCAGAGAGTAAATCCCTGCCTGAAGGGAATCAAGTTCCCTAATGGAACCATAAATGAGGGGAAACAGTGCGTTGGCAAGTATGCTGCCTGGGTTGTTGTTTTTTTTTTTAAGGGACATCATTGTTTCAGGTTGTGAAAATCATGCAGTGCTAGATTTGTGCATCTGCCACATGCATCAGTCTGTATTATACCGGCACCATACTGTCGGTGCCAGCTGCAACTGGAAGGGATTCCAGCGCTCGTGTAAACTAAATTTAATTTTCAGAATTCGGTGTTACCAAAAGAAACCTTAAATTAAAATATGACAGACATAAACATATTAATGATCATAAACAGCCATCATGATAATATACAATGAACCTGTTTTGGTTGTAAGCATTAAAAAAATGTATTCTCCATGTTCTAAAAATAATGGCAGGATTGCAGTGATTTTTGTAGCTTGACTATTGAGAATATGTTGCCAAAATAAAGTTGTAAAATGAGCACACCGACACGTCAGACAACCCAGAGAATTCTCACATCTGGTTAGTATTACATTGGATATTTTGTAACCAAGTCATAATTGAGGATCCTTGATTAGGCATGACACTGTCAATTGCTTCATAGATACATGTACATGTGGGTTCTTTGGTTCACCCACTGTGAATGGAATTTGCCGGGAATTGTAGTACTAGCGCACAAGTACATGTACATGTACCTGTGCCCCTAGTGGTAAATATGGCCAGAACCCTGTGGTCAGTGTAGGCACCTTCCTGGCATGCAGTCACTTTTTTCATTATAGAGATCAGTGTGGAAAATGGCACTTATAGAGTGGTGTTCTTTTTTTGTACAATGGAGCTGGGACCCAGTCTGTCTCCCTGTTTGTCACTGTTCTATGGGGGTATTTTAGGATTCCTGAAAGGGAGGAAACTCTTTTTTTTTGTCTTTGTAACTTTGAGCAGGACCAAAGCCTGCAGATCCCCCCCCCATAACAATCTCCAATCTTCATTTTTAACCAACAACCAAACTACTTATTTTAGGGGGGGCCAACTGGACTTGGAGAGATGGCTTCATACAGAAATTCTTCTGTGAAAGTTAAGGGAAAAACTTGAAGTTTAGTATCACATTTTCACCTGTGTTAATAGTCATTAAACTGATTGCCACCTTCTTGTTGGATAAACCTCACCTTCTCTGCACAAGTTCATCTCCTAAGTGACTCAAGTGTAGCAACGTGAAATTTTCACAGGTTTTAGCATATACTTGTAGGAAGTGCAAATTCTCTGAAATGTTTGTTCAAATAGTTTAGCTGTGTACAAAGTCAGATTTTTAGAAAGAAATGCTATTATTCCTAGGTATATCATGTTACTGTAACCAAATGATACCCGAGTTGACAAATATACCTGTGGTGGATCACCAAAGGATGGAGTCTTTCTCCTTCTCCCTATGGAGGAGCAGGTATGCAGGGCATGCGAGATCTTTGGGGAATACAAAAGAGGTGATGGGGGGTGGCACAGAAGGAAGATGCTTTGCAGGAGGGGTGTTGGATGCCTCCATGGGGTGGAGCTAGAGGTCAGGAATTTGTTTGACTGGGTGAAAGTGGCTGGTTGGCAGAGATTGGTTCTGGCATTTGCAAAATGAACCCCAGTCTGGTTCAGTTAAGTCGATGGTGATGACAACAGTTCGGGGCCAGTGTGAGCAGGTTGTGGCAGTGAAAGGAACGTGGGTATACCCTGGGTCTTTTTGTATTTGTCTTAGAGCCTGGCAAATGTAAATGTTTGCAGCAGCAATGAAGTGGAGTAACACCAGGTCTTCCTGGATGGAGATGTTGAAGGTGTTGATGGTGGTGTTGCAGGTAGGGACTAAATGCCCTTTTATCCCTTACTCATCAGTTTTGGGGACGAAATCAACTTCAAATGCTCAAGAAGGAAAAAAAATTTGTAAAAAGCAGAGTTTCAAGAACGACTGCCAAATAATGTGGTACGAGTACAAGACAAACTTTAGCATGGCCTTCAAAACAAACTTACATTCAAAGCATGGGCATGTTGCATCCACCTTAAATGTACAATTCTAGTAACCAAGCCCATTTATTCACCCCCAAGGTAAAAAAATGGAGTGTTCCAGGTCTCCAGCAGAGAAGCTGATTGGCTGTCTGAACTCCACCACTGGCAGACTAATTCTGGTTGGTCAAATGTCCCTCTTTGGTAGGACAGCCTAATTGGATTTCAGGTCAAGCAAGATGAACCATTATGACACCATGGAGATAGGACAACACAGTGACACCAACTCATCGTTCTCTTGTCGAGCATTTGACAGAGGTTCATAAAGTGCGATTGTCTATTCCTAATCCAGTTGTTTGTGCCTGGAGTGTTTGGCAAACTGAAAGGACTCTGGATCCCTGCTTGAAGTGCTCGGAGGCTGAATTCTAATTTGTTTGTGTTGGGTTATTGCCGGCACTGGGAACTCCTGTCAGGAAGTCACGGAACAGACTGTGAGAACGTGGCTTTGCACACAATTAACTCAGAAACTGAGTTTTGTCAGATCAGTAGTTATACTTGGAAAACAATCATGAGAGGTTTGGGATCAAGGTGTCTTCACTTTGGGTCATTTATTGGCCTCGTCTGGTTAGTTATGTCTTCATTCATGGTCAATCCATGTTCATCGTTGAATGAGCATCGCCTGTCACTTCCCCACTGGATGCGAGTTCCATTCAGTAAGTAGATATGATCAATTGTTTTGTTGTATGTCGGTGTATGTAACTGGCCATTGGTGAAAGTTTATGTTAGTTTGGTCGAACCGAATTGTGTTATCATTACCTACAGGTTCTAAAACGGACAAACTGGTATCCTGGTTCTCGAAAGCCATTGCTCATTTGATAGTACATCCTTTTGATAGTTTATCTTTTGCAGCTATTTATAAGGTAGATGCACAAATTCTCAAGTTTCTCCCAAGCATGTAAAACTGTTCATGTATACATACATGTGTCCAGACCAAACACTCACTGGTTGCCAACCAATGTTGTTTGAGCAAAGCTTGACCTCACTTGACAGCTGGAAGGTCACAGGGACTCATAATGAACCTTGCCGATGACACACTTGACCTATGGGTAGTATGTACATGTATCATCATACTAATACTTGAGTGAACAGGGGTGCAAATGCATTGCTCTCGCTCATATTGTCTTGATATCCTTATGTAGCATCCATCAGGGAGTGACATTGCTGGTAGTTTGAAGTTGACATGCTGCTGTTCTCTGAGATCATTTTTTGTCACTTTTTAGGCCAACTTCAGGTCTTGGTCTCATTCTTGGATTTCAAGATTTATCTTTATGTTTATCTCTCGTCACGGAATTTCCAAATTTCTTTTGCAATGCTGATATTTGAAATCCCAGGCTTTCCCCATTTGCAATTCCACTGAAAAAGTACTGTTGTCAAAATCCATCCCAAAGCTTGTTAGTTCTACAGTAAGATATGCAGCAGTTTGATTGTCACATCGCTTTCAACATTAACTCTGCATGACCCATGCTTGACCTGTTGTCGCATAGCAACACCAGTGTGCTGCAAAAACATCCATCATCCTTGAATTTGGACATACCTGGTGTCTCTGTGGTTTAGACTGGTGGGGGAAGAGATGATTGTAGCCCATTGTGTCTAACTGGTTGATCTGGTGAATAGAAGTCTGGACCCTGTCTTGTTATAGCAACCCCTGGACTCCCTGAAGGGAGGCTACAAACATGTCATGATAGCTTATTTTTGAAAAGGACCAGACTTTTTTTAAGGAAGAGAATCTCATTCTTCCAGTCACAAAATAGCATTATCACCTACAAAGTTGTAGGTTTTAGCTAGTTCTTTAATCAAGAAATATGGTGCCCAAAGCATGTGCGCACAAGGAAGGTAAGCGTATTTCACAACTAGGTCTGCTCACTCTAGCATTGCAGGGTTTCCCCTTAACTTTCTCTTTGCTAGTCAGCTAGACCAGTAATGATGACTTTGTTATTAGCTCACCGGCATTTTCACTGGTCCGCTTATTTTGTTCAATACTTTTTCTGACTTTCTTTACGTTGAATTGTTTGCGCTGTAATTTTGAATGCTTTATTCTGAGCACTTTGAGATTTCGAAACAGGATTCTTCCTTCCTATAGTCACTGCGCACAGATCAACTCCGAACACAAGCATGCCCAAGGAAATTACCAGTGGCATATCCAGGGGTGGGAGGGGGGAAAAGTGGGAATTTTCCTTTTTCCCAAATATGACGGACCGCATTTTTCATCTGTAACAAAAATCCTCACCCCCCCTGATGGAAAATGGTTGCACCGTTTCTGAAGTAATAGGGTTTTCAATTCCTACAAAAGAAACAAGTAGATTAAGTAGAAATTTAAAAGATAACAGGATAGTTTAATATACCATCCCCCCATCACCGCTGGCACTCTGGAAATTCCCATACATAAACTACATGAGTGCACCTGAGGGCATTTGGTGTTTCAGATGGCTGTTATTTTAAAATGTAGCAAGTACATTTCTTTGCCAAAATAAGTCAAATGTGCCACAGTTCTGCAGGGCTCCACACAAGCAAGTTGATGTACAATTTTACAGCAGACTAGGGGGTTATTAGCCAGGCTTGCATATCAGTGTGGTGTGCTGCATTGTGGGACTGAATGGAATGAGTGGGACAAGTTCCTGGTCAGTTCAAAGTCCCCTGGTGCCTCGGAAAATTGCATTGTCAATTTGAATTATCCGTAAGGTAGTAGACCGACACAGCTGTGGAAATAAGAAACAAATGTCAAATCTAAACTTGTTGTCAGCATTATTTCATTTGGTTGCTTTTCATTTGAAATTTGTTAAATTCAGTTTTATTTCATTCCTTTTCCTGTCATTTTTTCTTGTTATATTTCCATGTAAATGTTGTTTCTTTCTGTTTTGTTGCATTCCCTTTCCTTTCATTTGTGATTTGTAATGCTATATATTTGTACTGTTTTCTTTTTTAATTTCATTTTGATTCAATTTGAAATTCACCTGTCTCTTCTCCTATCCAGGGGAGCAGCAACGAGTATATGTTTGCATCAATTTGTCCTCGGGGCTACGGGAACCAGACAGCAGCTGTGAGCTGGCTAGACCGCAGGTTGAGAGAAGACCCTGCAACAGGCAGTTATGCCCGCCAGAGTAAATTTGGCTTTGTGGTTTTTGGGCAGGGAAAGGAGGGGGGAGGTCCTTGGATGGATGAAAAGAGAAGACACTATTACTAAGGGGAATTGATGATGCCAAAATGGGAAAGCTTACTTTATTAAATGTAGCTTTGAGACTATGAAGGTTGTTGTATTTCTCATGTGTCACTAAACCTGAAAATAAGATGTTCACCTAAAAGATATCTGAAGAAAGATTGAAATTTTGATATTTTTATACCAAATGTCATTCCTTACTGTCATGCACCTGGGACATCCATCATGCTAATTTCACATCTACATATCTTTGGCTTGATGAAGGTACATACTTGCAGTCAGTTTATGACTTTTCTTGAATAAAGCAAACATACTTATGTTTAATTCACCATTTTTACTAGGAAAAATGGGTTTCTTACAAAGGCCTCCATAATTAGGTTCACAGCTTCCTTCTGAGGTGCATCAGACCGGAAACAAAAATGGTTTTTTCTTTAAAAACCAAAAGCCCTGTAAATAGACTTATCCAAGAAGGTACCGTTAGGCCTACTGTCTTCGCATGGCCCTTACTCACCTTCTTCACTTAAAGCACAAAAAACTTATTGGTCAGAGAAAACAATGCATCACATGTGTGTCTTGCATTAGTGTGGCATAAGCACGGTTGGGGCTTTATACTGGTTTCCAGACTGTCCATCATTGAAGCGTAATACCTTTTTTTAAAGGTGGCAACCTGATCCCTGGCAGCCCTGCTCAAGGTCCTGCAGCGGTGGGGTCCAGACCAGAAATGTTTACTGTGTGGAGAGGGCTCCTAACAACATGCTGATGCGAGTAGACGAGGATATGTGCTCGGGCAGCAGGCCACACAGCAAGCAGAACTGCAACCTGGAACCCTGCCCGCACTGGATGACTGGCAACTGGTCTCAGGTAGGTGCATGATGGAAGGAGGACGTTGATACTTGTAGGTGTAGTCTAAAACTATGCATGGTGAGAAACCCATGGTGGGAAACTGCCATGGGCAGACATAACATCCTTCTATTTTTTCAGTCAATAGAATTTTTATTGTTATCAGTAAATTTGTGTGTGTGATGTCTATTAAAATCAATCCTGTACTACCGTTCTTCCATTCCACTTTGTAGCTTTCATTTTTAGATAAGTGGAATGACCAATAAAAACAGTCGCACTCACAAGGCAGGAAGTTTTTAGTTCCAATCCAACCCTGTATGGCTCCTTAGCAGCAGCACCAGCCAGATATTAGCCTTGCGAATCTAAGTCTTAGTCCACAGTGTCCAGCATAAGTCCGAGTCAGTGATCAGTTGCAATTTGAGTCTGAGTCACACAATTATTGCCAGTACTCAGTATTAAGCCCGTGCCCTACATGACCTCAAAAAAGACAGTGCACGAAACTTTGACAAGTCATTTGAGTTTGAAAGAGAAGTTGTTAAAACACAGTCTGCTCTCCTGTTCCATTTGTAGTGTTCCGTGACCTGTGGGCAAGGCAGTAAGCAGAGGAAGGTGTCTTGTCTGAATAGCCAACATGAGTCGTCAAGTGGTTGTGATCCCCGAAAGCAACCGTCCCTGACGAAAGCTTGTGTTGTCGGGGTGCCTTGTGTAAGGGGACCAGGTAAAAAAGATTTGTGACAGTGCAGACGTTTTACTATACAGGTCATTTCTTTGTTAGCATCACTTTTGTGGGTAACGCTGTGTAATTATCTCTGAGAGGCACAGTAGGTCCCACATGAAAGCACTAGTTTTTGACTGACATGCTCTGGTCCATCAAGAGGCTGGTGACATGAAGAAGACCTTTGGTTCTGCATGGAAACCATTGCATCTCATTCAAGATTCCTAGATCATGTGACTGGAGACCAATATTGATACCATTATTCTGCCATGCGAAGCCTCAATTCACTATTTTTCATTTTCTATCAAAAATCTACACTTTTGGCAAAAAATTTGACGACCGTGCCAGGGAAATGGATGACTCTCCAGTGTAATTCCTAAAGTATGAATTATGAGCTTACCTGGGATGATGCGACGTGGTTTTGGTTCTGTCGGAGATCTATACTCTTCCCCATAACATTTGGTTTGGTCTGAAATTGAAGCTAATGATACTGGTTTGCATCAGATTGGGTGCAAGTCTTTGCCATAGGGGTGTGCATTTCCGGGTATTTTTGGAACCAGGTACCCGTTTTTTGTCAACTTTGGGTACCTGGAAAAGAGATAACTTAATAACAAATGGCATTGTACGTGACCCCGGTGGACCATGTGCCCGAAACACAGCTCTTCTTCGTACATAGGGAGCAAGCGGCACATTGTTCTAAACGTCTGGGTTAATCTCTCCTACCTTTTTATCAAAAAAAGGAAAAATTGTCTTTTTGTGGGTACATGAAACAGAAAAACAAATTTTCACGAGGAACATCAGAACAGACAAGAGCTGCAAACCACCAACACACCAGCAACCACTCACATGAAATGTCCCAGATGCTGCATGACCACTTATTTTGAAGTTTCTGATTAAACAACCACCACCAAAATGCTTCAAACAGCGTTGAAAGTATTGGAAGTCTAGAAAGGGTAGGAGTCATCACTGTCAAGTGCATTTCTTTTTTCACGGGGACGAGTTGTATACTCGTTGCAGAAACCAACGTTACCTGAAACTGCAATGCTGGCTTTCAAGCTACTGAAGCTAACCTGATTGCAAACGCAGGCCCAATCCAATCGCTGACACTGCAGCGGCCATGTCACAGCAAAAGGAAAGGTCATGAGACCACACATAAGGAAGCCCAAATGAAAAAAATAGGACTATGTGCAGCGCTTGACGTTGTTAACAAGACTAAGCGATACGAAAGTTTCACCACATGAAGGTACCACAATAAAGGGGTTTATTTTAATAAATAATTTTGTTAGGATAACTCCATTCCCCTGAGGTTCGAGTTGTCGAGATTTTAATGTATAAGTACTTTGACAAGCGACATTTGACTGACTGACTGTATTGTGACCTGTCAACATTTCCTTTTTTTTGGAATGAAAGAAACACTTAAATTTGAAGTGATTTTGTACATACAGGAAACATCCTTACTGCTTTTTTGTTCGATTCCTCATCCACAGTTCCGTTGAATCACTCAGGAAATTCATATTGCTTTAATTTAAAAGTAATTTTGAAACTGAAGTTTGAATGATGACTACGACATATTTCTTGGTATCAAAAACTGAACTGGTCCTCTGACTCTTTGGGTTTATGGAGCACCTTCATTGCTTTGGTAACCAGCTAATAATAAGAGGCTGATCAACTGCACAATTTGTGCGTGTTCACTACTTACCGCACGTGTGGAGTCTCAGTACCGCTGAAAGTCCGCTCTCGCTTCGTCGTCGATCTCGACATAAAGTAATTTTCATTCATATTGTTTTATTTGACAAAAACACTCTTAACTCAAACAGTACGCACTAGCACTTCTGTTCAAAAGTCATTTAGGCTGACAGGGTGTGAAAGTTACAAATACGGTCATGCAAGTGTACATCAACAGCGCTTCCACCTCAGAAGACAAATTTCTTTCAGTCTATAGGTTTGGTACAGTAATTTTCCTAGTACCCAATCGCGAAAATTATTCAGTATGATTGCAGCTACAAAAATCCTCAAATTTGACTGAAATATTGTCAAAATCAACTTTGTGTTTTGTAGATACCTCAATTTCAAATCTAAGCTTTTACATGTTTATTTGGACTCACAGGGAGTGACGACGACACCTTTCCTAGTTCTGGATTGGTTTCGGATCGAGACAAAAACTTCTTCACGAATAAACAGGAACCATGTGAAAAATCCATTTTCAGCCAGAACCATTGTAAAAAAGTTGCTTTTCTAATACAGAATTTCTTAATGTTGAGCAAATTAGATCAAAAATTCCAAGAATTCCAATGAATTAAAAAGTAGAAATTGCGTAATGTTTGACTCGACTTTTCAACTGTACAGTGAACTATCAACAGTACGCTCCCCCCGCCGCACAGTTGACGAACCCATTACGTCACATACATTTCTGCTGCGCCTGTGTAGTTGAGTTTGCAACGACTTTGCGTGATAACGCCATGCGATCCGAAAGTATAGGGAAAATGTTGTCAGTTTTTGGTCAATCGACAAAAAAAGGAATCATTTTGATTATTAAAACAGACATTAGATGCAAAAGTTTATATGCCTATTCAATATGAAATGTATTTGAAATTACAAGTAGTGAGTGACCTATCACTCCATGAATTTTAGTTGTTTTTTCGCTCTTGTGAACTAGGCAAAATCCGGAACTAGGAAAACAACTGCAGTACACCAGGCGGTGTGGATAACCAAAGTAACTGTCAATCTCCAAACTGAAGTTTCATGTATGACCGCGGGACCAAGTTTTCAGCGGCACAATGATTTTTCAGCAAGTTTGCCCTTCAGTATGACATTTCACAGACATTTTATACGTGGATGTTTGCTCCTAATTTATTTCCTTTTTTTCGGCTACCCAGCCTGAAAAATGGCTACCCAGCCTGTTTTTAAATCAACGGGCGGGTACCCGGGTACCAGGCACAGGCCTACTTTGCCTTTAAAATACAATTTTTTTCCTTGTCTTATTTGTTTTTTGGGGTTTTCTTTTTCATCTACTGTTTATTATTTCCTTGGACTCTTTCTGATCCATCTGCCCAACTTTTATCTGCAGCTGATGTAGTTCTTGTTTCCCACGTTCCTTGTCTAGAGACCTCATCTCCCCAAATGGTTATTCATCTTGAGAACCCCAACCAACCATTTGAAAGATCTTCCGTGCCCAGGTGAGAAGTAAAGCAGGACTTAGCAGGCAGCGTGAGAAAGAAATCAAGGATGATTGAAGTTTTGCAGAGTGTTACAAAACAAGCACAGGTCCAGTAAGGTTGAGTCGTGTCACATATGAACCAGCACTGTGTAGGGACGACACTCTACATTCACAAAGCCTTTGATTGGCAAACATTACTTAACATCTACATTATATTGATGGTATTCTCAAGGATGAGGGCCCATTTATCCCAGGTAGTAATCATACTCTCCATCAGTCCACATACACTCCCCTCCCCTGACCCCCACAAAAGGATAACATGAAAACTCTGGTTCCGTTCTATTCTGAATTCCTCAGTTACCATGCCACTGACTGGGGGCCATGCAGCGTCACCTGTGGCCGGGGCACCACCACCAGGTCAGTGCGCTGTAAAGTCTACCTGCCCTCCAACCAGATGCTCAAGGACTTGCCGGACGCAGAGTGTGCCCACCTCCAGAAACCAGATGCCGCTGCCGAGTGTGAGAGACCGGAGTGCTCACCCGAGGACGGCAGCCAATTTGAGGACAACACGGTCCCCGCTAGCGAGTTTGACGGGGGCCCACTTCAGGTGCAGTTTGTGTGGCGGTACGTGGGATTCAGCGAGTGCAGTGCCTCGTGTATTGGAGGTAAGTGTCTTGTGGGAGTGGTATAAGTGCTTCCCCTTGCCCCAAAAAGAAATTCTCTAAACTTACACAAATGTAGCACTCCATAGTTGCTTTCAGTGGCACATCCAGTTTTCGATCCGGATTGCAACTGGGGAAGGTTATAAGCATTTTTTATGGCCACTCATTGCTGGGGCTATTTCTAGACTGTACATCATTTTCTTATGCCGAGTGAGCCTGCATAACATAGGAAGACAAAGTGATAATTGAGATGACAATACTTTGTGTATAGTATTCCCCCCCCCCGCACCTTGTATGCCGTAATGAAAAGGGCATTATGTCAGCTACTATGCAAAATTATTGACCAGTCATAATTTCTAATCAATATCTGCTACAATGCCACGGTCATTACTTTGGGTTGGGCTGCAGGTGCTTCGTGAGTGTACAGTGCTCTCATGCTTAGGTTGGTCCATGAGCAAAGGGTAGCTTTTAATTCTAAACAAAATACCAACAACAAATATTGGCCACCATACCTTCTCTTTGCATCTCCCACAGATTTGCCAGTGATCTAGACTAGGGGCTTAACATTACCAATTAAGTAATGTTACACCATAGCGAAGTTGCAGTTTGCTGTGAAAAGATGACAGTATTGCAGAAGAGGATTAGCAAGAGTCTGAATAGTATTTCATCAGATTGATGCATGTTTAATATTCAACCTACTTTCAACAGTGTACAGGTTGAGGCTGATTTTCAAGGCATTGAGCACTGCGTTGGGGGAATACAGATTTGGGGCTGTTTTTAATACCAGCGCTTTCTACTGAGTAGAGCATTGGCAGGATGCTATTTTTGCCAGTCGCGTTTAAGATGAGCATCAGTGGTCTGAAATTGTTGGTTTGGGCAACTATTTTCTGACTTCGTTCGGCACCTGTTCGAGTATGATCCCACTCATTCCTGATTTGTTTCTCCTCCCTCCCTCCCTCCGTCATTCTTCAATGCCTGTCTTGGACAGGCGTGCAGGAGTCGTTGATACAGTGCATGCACATTGATGGGGAGACACCTGTCAGTGACACACTGTGCGACATCACCTCCAGGCCAGATATATTCACCCGGGTCTGCAACGACCAGCCTTGTCCACCAGCGTAAGTTTGCTACCCCAACCCATTAGGGTCCAATCAAAAGACGTCAAAGTACCATGTGACCGCACCGTTTTTCTCAAGAGCAGGCTACCATTGCCGTTGGGCAATCGTTTGATTAGCAACCGTATGTTGTACATTATGAATTTGATGGCGTGGTTCATTTTCACCTAAAATACATATATGCGATCCATTTTTTATCAAATGGTGTGATGGTCACCTCCTTTGCCATGCATGGTTGTCATTATCATTCCCATCTGGTTCTGGATGGTGCGTTGGCATTTTTCTCTGTGTAGACGGTTTTTGCCTGCCACGATGGCAAATGCCCATTGCTATGTAACATAGGCCAGTGAAAATTGCCTGTTCTCCTAAACACTAACTTGCACGTGCAGATTTTGCTCACCTTTCATTTACCTTTCAAAAAATTTACTTAACTTCATCCAATAGATGGGAAGTGCCCTTGTACAAGGAGTGCTCGGTATCCTGCGGAGGTGGTAGCCAGTACCCTCTTGAAGTCCTCTGCATGCAGACCATGGCCATGGGAGTGGGCAACACAGTGGTTCTGCCAGACTCTGACTGTGACCATCTGCCCCTGCCTAGTGGTCCAGTACCCTGTGGGCAGGTGGACTGTCCTGCGTACTGGCAAACAGGAACTTGGTCGGAGGTGAGGCAATCGTCAGTTGGGTTTTCTGTTTCTCACTTGGGTCAAACAGGCCGAGGCTACTGTTGAATGCCACTGGCACAGTGTGCCCGGTCCCCACGCAGACATACTTGTGTGCCCGGTCCCCATGCAGACGTACTTGTGTGCCCGGTCCCCATGCAGACATACTTGCGTGCCCGGTCCCCATGCAGGCATACTTGTGTGCCCGGTCCCCATGCAGACATACTTGTGTGCCCGGTCCCCATGCAGACGTACTTGTGTGCCCGGTCCCCATGCAGGCATACTTGTGTGCCTGGTCCCCATGCAGGCATACTTGCTGTGTTTGTGCATACTCTTTGCCAGACGAATAGGCATAAGCAAGCACCTGAGCGTCGAGTGTTGCACCAAAGAATGTTGCTTTGTGGAATTGGTCTCCTCATGGGAGCTATTCAAAAGTAGGAATGTCTCAGAGTGTCTGCAGAAGATCAATGTTTGTTGCAATCTGAAACATCCACTGTTCCTTTTTAGAGTAAGGCTTGTTTTTGAATAGGTCTATGTGTGCATGCTAACTCATGAACAGCATCTTCCTAAATACCAATTTCACCAGGAAGATTGTGTTCCATAAAAGAAGCATTACAATGGGATTAGGAAGGTTCCTATGCTTGAGACAATCCCTTATTTACAAAAGGAACTTGCTATCAAATTTTTTTTATGTGTCTGAAGAATCCCACGGAGAGGAGATGTGAAGAAATGTTCCAGTTTGTGTGTTGGCATTCTGGGTAATATCTACAGATCCAGGTTGGGGACTTGAAAACCACTGAACGTATTGGATTGGGTTGGATTCACGCCTGGGTCGGAAGTCAGAAGGGAAGTGGCCAAGTGTCAACTAGATTCTTCTGTTTTAGACTGAAGGATGTTGCAAACAATGGGATGTCATCGCCCAAATTAGAATTTAAGTCAGTTTCACGTTGGTTTCTGTCTGATTTCGTTTTGGAATCAGTGCTCCAAGTCTTGCAACGGTGGCATCAGATCACGACGTGTCACCTGCAAGAAAAGGCTGAAGACCGGAGTGGAGTCCATAGTAGACTGGCACCAGTGTCCACTGACGGCACCACTGAGCACGGACTCTTGCAACATGGGACCATGTGAACCTGTGCACGAGTGGAGACCACAGGAATGGTCAGAGGTCTGTTATGAGTAGTTTATATCTTACAACCAGTTACACTGGTAACTATGACTATTGTAGAGTTTGGCTGACTTACTTAAATGCAGACTTCGAAACAGTGGCTTCACAGGGCTATCTGGATATCTGACAATAGCCTAGCCACTAGTCCCACTCCTTAGATTATAAAAAGGTTGGTTTTTGATACTTTTCGGCCACAGGCTGACTTGATTTCTTGCTGAGTTGCACTTCAGTTTTCTGTGCACTGTAAATAAGAAAACGTATGACACCACTTAAAAATACCTACCTGAACTGTTTTAGCAGTTTCATTGTTTCTGAAACAGAGATGCTACTAAGCAACCAACAAAGTCCCACAAAACCACCCAGCAGAACCTTTTCATGTTAAAATGCCTGTAACAAGTCTGAAAATGTCCAGTATTGTTTTTTTTCCATTCAAGTGCTCAGTCACATGTGGTGTTGGTATCAAGGTGAGGCCCATAACGTGCATTAGACGAGACCCCGACGGAACGACTGCCCTGGCGGATTTCAGGTTCTGCCCGAGGTCCAATCAGCCGGCACATAGAGAATTCTGCCAGCTAAGCCCCTGCACAGGTAGGACCCCCGGCCACTTCTGAAAGTGGAAGGGGCACACTAGGTTTCTTTGCAACACACAATTCTGGCACCATCATTCTTGAATACACAGCCTTGGTTCTCATTCTTTGAACGAGATCTGAGCAACAATGGGTGTGACTCCTTCCCATTCATTGCGTTGTCAGCAAATTGTTGATGTTTTCAGCAGTCTTTGCGTCCCCTCCCTTTTTCCCAAATCTCTGGCATTTTTTTTCCTGGTTTTGTCAATTGGAGGCTTTTGAGATGCTTGGTGGCAGCAACAATACTGGTCCAAAGTGACAACTCCACTATTTATTGTGTCATTTGAGCATGTGCACATTCAATCAAACATGACATATAACAACAGTAGACCGGTCGCACTGGACCAATATACTTGTAAAAATGTGTCATGGCACAACTTTTTTTTTATTTGTATATTACGGAATTTTACATAAGATAACTGCCTGGTTAATAAATGCCAATTGCACATCTCCCTTTTTTTTTTGGGTGCTCCAGAGCCGAGAATCCTGGCTAACCACACCACCTACCACCAGGTGGGCTTCAGGAGCAAGCTCCGCCTCACCGTGGGCATGACGGCCCACGTCAACAGAGGGGTGACCGTCACGGTCAAGTGTCCAGTCAAGCACTTCAAGAAGTCCAAGCTCAGGTGGCAGCGGGGGCCACAGGAGATCACGACCGGCAACGCCAGGGCAAAGGTCCTGCCAGAAGGAACGCTGCGGATACGACGAGTCAAGGAGGCCGACCAGGGGGTGTACAGCTGCATTGCTGGAACAGCCAAGGAGAGGTTTACATTACACATCAGAGGTACGGAATTTGAATACTGGGTCAAGGGACTACAGCATAGGGGCAGATTTCAAAGAGCAGCAGTAGTATAAAAAGGGGGTATCCACCCCCTCACTCGAGGCCTGTGCCCCTCCCCAACAGACATTAGAGATGGAAAACAATCTAGTGATAGTGCACCTTGGTCAGTATTTTAACCGTGAGCAAACCAATAAGTCCCCACCTCCAGAAAATGAGGTGCCCCCAAGCGTCCCATTGCAACATGTACCCCAGTTACAACAGTGAAGAGCAGCCCGGCGTGAACATGTACCTGTACCAAGACCGAGAGACATCAGCTAAGCAGAAATGAGCTACTGGCTAAAATACTATTAGATGTACAGTACATGCAACTGGTGTCAAGCTGATTTTTGCCAACCCAGGAAATTTGATTAGGAGTGGTTTGTTTCAAGGAAGACGGGCAGGATAACTGTGGCTACAGGTGGCTGGTGCATGAATGCGCTGACCTCATCACACCAATATGAACTGTACATTCAATGTAACTTACACATTTGTACGACACAAAGTGCACTTGACTGCTGCTCCATTGGATGTGCATTAAACCGTCCTTGTGACAGAAAATAACACCTCAACTTGCACATGTGATGGCACTAAAGTGTTCACAACTAATAGTGATCTGTTTCTGTTTTTACGACTATATTACGATGACGTATAGGTTTTGTGATCAGGCTACTGCTCTTAAAACCCGTAAACATTTCAAACAGTGCCTTTAAAACCGTTATGTTCTTTATGTGAACAGATTTGGAGGAGCTTAGAACTGGACCATCGCTTTTTGGACCCAGGTAAGCTGAATTTGTATCACAACTGCACTTGATCAGAGTTCTAATTGAGCCATTCCCAAGTCCAGCAAGAATATTAAAATATAAAGTGGTACGGAACAAAAACAATATTGGTCGGAGAACTTGCGGGATCATAACTGCGCTCCATCATTGTTCTGGTCAGAGCCTTTTTCCAGTTTTTCCAATGTAATGTGGTGTGGTAGAAATTAACCCTTAAGAACAAGAATAGTATTGCTCTGAGAACTCGGAACTTTGAAGGATTCAGACTTAAGTGCAAGTATTTTGGCAAGTATTCGTATGTTCCTGTTGTATGCTTTTATGAGGCTGTATGTCTCAACAGAGGAAGATCTCTGCATCCAAAGGGCTCAACTGTGCATTGTTATGATTTTTTATTTCTCTAGGTGGATCATCAGCAACTGGACCGCATGTTCGGCCAGTTGTGGAGGGGGCAGCCAGACGCGGTCCGTGGTGTGCCAGCACACCTCAATACTGGGCCGCTCCAGGCCCGACTTGGGTCGGGCGTGCCGGGTGCAGGGACTGGGCTCACCGGAGATGACCAGGGAGTGCAACACTCACAGCTGTGAGCCCCACTGGGCTACAGGGTCTTGGCAAAAGGTACGTGTAAGCGCATGGACCCGGAGATCTGAACCAAATTTCAAAGGGGAGGGGGCCAAAAATGTTGAAATATTTTCTTGTCATCGTTTGTGGTCTTTAGCCTTCTCAGGGATGAGACTACGTCTCGTGGGTTTTTTAGATGCCTTTGGAAGGGAGGAAAGTGACAAAGACCAAAGAAATGACCATTCCTTCACTATTCAGTTTTGTTTGGAAAAGGGGGTGATGGATGGCCCTGTTGCGTCCTCCCAGGATCTGTCCTTGGTGAAGTGCAACCCCCATGATACAAAAGAATAAGCAATCTGACAGGGCAGCTGACAAGTTAAACTATTGAGCATTACCTGAGTCTCCCCAGATGGACATGTTTATACATCTCTCCATTTGTCTTGTTCGTATGTACCTGCATACGGTATCTGGGAAATCCGTCAAAGTAGACCTTGATTTGAACTTGAACTTAACTGCTGCACATGGCCTGTCGTCATTAATGTCACTCTAAGTAGCACCTCCAAGTAATGCAAAACATGAGGTGGCATTAAGAGACAAGCAGTATACATGCATTGTTCATATGAGGCCACTGTTGGGGAATATGGCTGTATATGATGCGCTGTGTTGTTGGATGTGACATGTCAGGTAAGATTCTATTTCCATCTATTAGTGTTCTGCCCAATGTACCGAAGCATTTGTTGGGAGTCAGTTCCGAGAGGTTTACTGTGAGGGCAGCCAACGCGAGCTAATACCAGACAGTCTGTGTGACAATGCCATGAGACCTTTAACTCGGCAACCTTGCCAGCACATCCAGTGCAGTCCTGTGTGGCGGACCTCGGAGTGGAGCTCTGTGAGTACTTTTTTTTTATATCTACTTGCGGTGATTTGCTTTCAAAGCCTGTGAAGTTTCATCCAATGTTACGACTGTCAAAACAGGCTTCGACTTGGCGCGTTTTGTTCCAAGGGTTGACATTGAGAACCATGTACAGATGTGGCATTTGACGCTGGGCACTTTACTTTCACTGATTTTGTTATTCTTAGCCACAGTTTAAACTTCTCAGCCTTGGAAAACAGTAGGAACTAGGTTGACTTGAGATGACGCATTGTAAGAAGCATAGCAATGGTGGAATATCTACAGAGCATCCAGCGTAGACCAGAAGCAACAATGTGAACTTCCACACATGATCTACTGCTTGAATTTCCATGCACATGGAAGTTGTGCAGGAAGCACACCGTTTATTGTCTCTTTCCACAGCAGTGATCAGTCAAAGTCACAGTTCAGGCCTTCCAGCAACCAGCTGTGTAGTAGTCTGTTAAAATAACTCGGCCCCCGACTTGACCATTTTTTGATGGTGTGACAGGAATTTCAGCCATTAATCTTTACTACTCAAGGCTGGTTCATAATCTGTCAGATGGTAAATGCCACGTCATAAGAGGTCAAACTCGTCCACGGTCAAAGTTGAAATGAATTCAACTGCTGCAAGTTTGCAGTGGGAATTGTTTGCTGGGATGTTAGAAACTCATGTTTGTGCTTATTTTGTGTATGGACCATGAACTGGTTTACGGTTCATTTGATCTCTGCATAATAAATACCATATGTTATTTGAAAAAAGTAGTGGACTCAAACTAAATAACAACAGAAACCAATTTATATAACAGGTTTTGCCCTTACCCAACGTATATATTAATAAACACTGTATGCTCAGTGCTTGTTCAAGAGCTTGCAAAAAAAAAGTCATAAGCTTACTCGGACTCGAACCCACGACCTCCTGCTTACTAGTGCAGACGTCTTAACCACTCGAGGTCGTGGGTTTGAGTCCCACCCGAGTAAGC